TGTCAAAGAAGTGCTCCACAGTGCTGAATCTATTCTGAAGATAGAGTTCAGCACTTCGGTCTTAGCGATCTTTCATATAACATTAATAATTGTTCCATGTCTGCACTCAGGGATGATTTAGAAGAGATGCCCTCTTCTGTAGGACAACCCTATCTCCCTTCCGTCTTCTTTTCTCAAGGCTAAACATGCTCAGTTCCTTCAGTCTTTCCACACAGGGCTTGGATTCTAGTCTCCTGATCATCCTTGTTGCCCTCCTCTGAACTTGTTCCAGTCTGATAGCATCCTTCTTCAACTGGAAACCGGACTCAGGACAAGGCCTAACCAGTGTCACGTAGAGGGGAACTAGCGCCTCGCCGGATTTCGAAATTATACTTCTGTTAATGCATGCTAAAACACCATTTGCCTTTTTTGCAGCCTTGAGGGTTAACCACTAGACGCCCTCTTTCTGGACAGATGAACCGGTCCACTTCACCTTCTTCCGTGTTCATTTTTCAGAACAAAAACCTCTCACACCCTTTCTGCCTAATTCACGAAGGAAGCCGCCAATTGGGAGAGCGCGCGTTTCAAAGAGATGAGCAAGCCAAATGACATTTTCATCGATCCATCTTAGGGAATGCAGCCTAGTTCCTAAGATCGCCATATGGCCTTGAACACATCCCGTCTCCAATGATCGTAGACGCTCAGCAGGGCCAGATCTGCTTCATACTTAACGCCGAAGAAGACCAGCAGGGAATACCAGGGGTCTGCAGGGAAAGCTGAGAAAGCCTCTGGCCTGGAGACTGGACGGGCCATTCCTGGTGTGGACACCTCTGGCCTAGAGGAAGCCGCCCGAGTCCCTCTAAGGCGGCTTATCTTCCAACGCTAATTTTGCCATGCTATCATGTCTAATATTTTCTTCTACTACAACTACTCTTTTTTCACATGTTTCATAAACCCTTAGTTAACACTCACAAATTACACAGAATGATGATGGCTGCAACTTTGTCGTACAGACTTGCAAGACTGAGAAGATTTAGAGCAACTGTGATTTTTCCCCTCTCTTTTTAATGTCCCTACTGGTCCCCGTTGTCATGGGGGCTTTGGGAACAATATCAAGAAATTTCACTCAGTACTATAAGCAGTTGCGGATCTCAGAAATCACACCATCAGAGCTACAAAAAACGGCAATATTAGAAACAGCAGACATTCTGCGCCGATATTTAACAGATACTTGGGTTTTTAAATTTTGTTTCTGTTATATAATACCAGTCAATGTTTTTATAATGTTGACTGTTGGGCCACAGTGTTGGGGGGGAAGGAGCTTATTTTCTCTGCCTTTGAAAAACCTTTATATCAAAAGACGGGATGGTTCTGGTGAAGCCCAATCAAACTCTGCTCCTCCTCTTCTCATGGTTACACCCTCCAAATTTCTTATTGCAGCACAGGGGAAAACCAGCCTCTCCCCCCAAACCCCCTGTCTCTGAGATTTGTGGGAGACCACCTTGGCATTTCAGAGGCGTTCGTTAGATCTGACAATTATATGAGTTCCTTAATGCCTTCCGGTAGAATTGTGGAGTCAGCAGCTTCCCAACGCTGCCGATTCTGGATGTTTTACTCATGGTGCCACTCCAGATGCCAGCTCTTCCCTCCCAGAAGATCACACTTGCTTGGCTTGCCAGACTGTTAATAAGGAGAAGTCCATGTCATGGGGACACAGGTCACCGGCCTGATGGACAACTCACATGGCTAAGGTGGCTCAGATCTGGTCATTGCCTGGATAGGAGTCCTCCAGACCAACCCATGCAATGGCGCCTTGAATTCCAGGATGGCAGAAGCACAAGGCATAAATAAGGAAGCTCATGGCTTCTAGGTTAGGCTCTTCAAAGATCACCAAAAAGGAGGATCATACAAAGAGGTGGTTGGTTGGTGGTGGGTGCCATCAAGTCACCTCCAACTTATGGAGGTCACATGAATGAGCAGTCCCCAACATGTCCTGTCCATGTAGACTTAAGCCTGTGGCCATCTTGTGGACAGTCACAATGCCATTGAGCTTTTATGCTGGTGTAACGCATTTGGCAGGGGATTCCCAGTGTGGTGTAGTGGATAGAGGGATGGACTCGGACTCAAGAGGCCCGAGTTCAAATCCCCTCTCAGCCATGGAAACTCCCTGGGGGGTATGGAACTGGTAAAACCACTCCTTAAATATCTCACTTACCTCAAAAGCCCTGTTAGGGTCGCTATAATCAGGTTTGACATGACGGCACATAACAACGACCTCGAAGGGTGCTCACGTTTCATGATCCTCATCTTGCAAACAGAAGATTATCCCCTCAGTAGGGATTGCTCTTGAGCAAGCATGGCCTTGCACCAACTCTGAAAAAGCCCCACTGATGGCCTAAGACACATTCGCACAGACCTAGGCAATGCGATTCTAGCCTATGATGGCTTCGGTTCCCATCGTCTTGAAGGGAAGCTTCACAGTGTAGGGAACCACACCCCATCATGGAATTTTGCAGCCAGGGAGAGACTCCGGAAAACAACTTCCACTATCTCACGCACACACTGCTTTTAACTTGACAAGCAATTACAGACTCCGGGGACAAAGTCCAGTTCATCTCTCTCCTGGCCGCCCCCTAATCTCTCTCTCCCTCTCTCTCTCTGCAAATGGACCAGCGAGGGCCCAGAGAGAGTTAGGTGGACGTGTCTTATTATCCAGAACTTAATTGAACAGCAGAGCTATCCTGGAACATAAATAGAATTTATGCTTGTTAGACAGGTACCAAGACTATTAAGGAAATTAGTTGGGAGCATTCTGATAAGGTGGCACATTCATTAGAGGTGGCGGCAGAATTTGCATCAAAGCAAGGCAGCGTGGGGTGAGGGGAAGGACTTGTCTGTTGGCATTTGCACCCTGGGCGTGTGGGTCTGTGCATGCCTGCACAGCTGTTTCTCTGTGTGCGAAGTTTCATTCAAATTCGCATGGAAGCAGGGGTGGGGGACCCGAAATGCCGGCCTTGCTATCAATTCGGACTTCAGTTCCACCAGTGACCCAGCTTGGGTTGGTTGGTTGGTTTTCAATGACTCCAACACAACTCACAACTCAGAACCCACTCATCCCTTCCCCCTTTTTTTCTGGGGGGGGGGAAGCTTGTCTCGGACTTCGAACTCAGACCCAAAGACTTCCCAACATCGCTGCACGGAAGGTTAAGGGGAGCATCTTTACATCTGACAGATTTGCACACGTAGAAGGACATAAAAACTATGGTTGTGAGAGGAGTCGTTTGGTCCGATAGCAATTTTAAGATGATTGGATTGAGAGGGAGGGAGAAAAAGGGCGGGTCTTTCACCCTTCATGAAACAACCGGTTTGGCCTGTCACTCTTTCCACACCGCTTGCATTCACTTCTAGCCAAATAAAATTGCATGCTCTCCCCTGTATTTTGCATTGATCGCTTTGAGATGCCTCATCTCAGACCTTGCACGTCTGCTGAAGCTGGACTCGCCAACTCCACTAAGATTTCCTGGCTCCATCCCCTACCGGTGTGGGGAGAAAGTCACTTCTCTCTCACTTCAGTTGCTGTGGCTATGCTGAATGTGGTATGTGGGCAGTAAGGCAGTTGTTTGCTAACCATAGGTAACCCAGATGTTCTTGGACTACAACTCCCAGAAATCCTGGCCAGCACAGCTAGTAGTGAAGGCTTCTGGGAGTTTTAGTCCAAGAACATCTGGGGACCCAAGGTTGGGAACCACTGCTCTAAGGGCTAAATCTAACCTATCTAGACTCATCTAGAGTAAACCCACTGAATCAACTGTTAAATACATCATTCAATGGAAGATGGAGAGAAAACATGGAAGGGCAGAAGACAGCCTCAATAGAGAACAGCTAATCCTCACAGCAAGAGAGACGTGGAGATGATGGTGAAAGCAAATTTAGACACCCACACCTTCCATCCTCCGAAAGGGAGCAGGGCTCCGTGCAAAACTACTGATGTATGTGTGGCACTAATAATGGCCAGAAACCTCTTGCAAATTTATGCCAGCCTTGATGTAATTCCATACATCAACATGGTGACTTGCTGCTAATTAAGGAAGTGCCACTTGCATTATTAGTTACATGTCAGTTCCATGACTTGGCATATGACCCGGAATGGAAGCAGCAGCTTGTTAATGAGCGGCTATTGCCACTTCAGTGTGTGCGAGGGCATGAATGCACAACAGAAGGATGCTGACAAACTGGAGCAGGTTCAGAGGACGGCAATGAGGATGATCATAGGATTGGGAACCAAACCGGATGCTGACAAACTGGAGCAGGTTCAGAGGGAGGCATTGAGGATGATCATAGGCTTGGGAACCAAACCGTAGGAGGAAAGGCTGAAAGAACTGGGCATGCTTAAGCCTTGAAAAAAGAAGACCGAGGGGAGATTTGATAGCACTTTTCAAAGACTCAAAAGGTAGCCCTACAGAGGAGAGACAGGGTCTGTTCTCAATCAATCCAGAGTGCAGGACAGGCAACAATGGGCTCAAGTTAAAAGGAAGCTAGATTTCAGCTGGAGATCAGGAAAAATTTAGAACAGTATGACTACAGAACCCATGACCTCAGGAGGTGGTGAGGGCTCCAACGTTGGAGGCATTCAAACTAGACCAACATATGTAAGATCTTCTTTCATTTGAATCGTGAGCGCTCCAACGTTGGAGGCATTCAAGCTAGACCAACATCTGTAAGATCTTCTTTCATTTGAATTCCTGCCTTGAACAGGGGGTTGGACTTGATGGCCTTAGAGCACCCCTCCAACTCCATTATTCTAGGGTTCTATTAATAGGGTTCTGCTTAATATATGTTTAGGAAGCAGCGTAGGAAATTAAGTTTTCCTGTCTCGCTTTCTCAAGAATCACCCATGAACACACATAGTTATTTTGTAACTGCTCTACAAAGACCCATCTCCTATAGCATCACAAGGTCCCACACCATCATCCTGAAGGTCCCCCCTTGCCAGATCTCAGTGAATAGGAAACTGGTCCAAGGTTTTCCACTAATTGGCATATAATCCAGCTTCTCACATTTGCTATATGATGGCATGAGCAGTGCTTTGTTCCCATAATGTCAAAAGAGTCGAGGAAAAATGAAATCCAGTTCCATCCTCATATGCCTCCATTTCTGGCTGTGAAGTTTTGGAATCTACAACAGGGAAAGAGAGAGAGAGAGAATCACTTTTCTGACTTGCATTCAATCATCCTGCCCTGAGTCCATGCCATTACTCAAGATGACAGAGGAGCTGAAAAGAAATGACGGTCACCGGCCTGGATGTAAAGACATGGATGACATTTCCTGGGAGTTTCTTCCTTGGTCAGAAGGTCATTGTCAACATTAACAGCAAAAGCTGAACCTTGAAAAGTTTTGGACCGCCATCCGGGTTTGGACAAAGCCAGGCTCTCTCTTTGCTAAAACAGATCCGTCAAGAAAGGGAGTCCTTTAATTTTGTCCTCAGTCTTGCCTTTGGAAGAGTCCCAATGTATGGGAAGTAATTCGGGAAGAGACTGCCATTTGGGGACATAACGGATATTGTGGACTTTTCTTCTCTTGATGACATTGATGCACCCTGTAAAAAAAAGTGGAGTGGCTTTTGGGGACATAACGGATATTGTGGACTTTCTTCTCTTGATGACAAAAGGGCTGATTGATACATCCTGTAAAAAAAGTGGGGTGGCTTTTTTTGCACAAGAAAATAAGGGCACTTTTTAATCAGCAACATCATTGATGAAAAAGGAAACAAAACAACAACTTGTATTTTTTTTTGTACAAAACATGCACCTTACATGAACAAACCCTTTGTTTTTCATTTTATTCATTGAGAAAAATACAAGAACTTTTTTGCACACAATACAGGTATGCTACTTTGGGTGAAGGGGGGGGAGAAGGGTTGGAGCAAAGCCTGACCTGAGTAATACTGTACTTCTGCACCCTGGAGTGCTACAGCGTGGCCAAAACTATTTTAAATAACTACATTTCCCATGGACGTACCACTAGCACAGTTCTTCCTACCCATCCAAAGAGCAGACACCTGGGACTGGGGGGCGGGATGTGTTTTTACTACCCTCCGGCCAAACTACAACTGTAATCCAGCACAATCACATGCATAACAAGCACAGGCGAAAGCAGGCATGGCCTTTACTTAAAGGGTGGAATCAATAATACACTGGAGTGTTACCCAGGTGAATTCTATTGGCATTCAAACTGCTAGCTGGCTTTCCTACAGAAAATCTCTCCTCCAGACCACGATTCTTGAGTCAGAGGGGCCCATTTGACCAGCACCCTTGATTTATACGAACAATAATCTTTGCTCCCCTTCCTAGGCGGCTTATGGTAAACACTTCTGCACAGGAATGCTTAGGAGTAACGCTTAGCCTGGAATGTTGAGCTAAGTAATGACTAATCAAAATCATTGGGCATTAGCGAAATGGATGGACTCATTGCTAACATTGAGTGTAGGGGAGAGAAGCTACTTAACATCAGGCTCTGATCAATAGCATTGCTGTTAAAACCAGGGTCAGAATCCTATCAGTCGGTTACAGGAAGTGGAATAATCAAGTTGCAATAGCCATAGTGAAAGAATTTCCAATTTCACCCCTCATCGCACACCAAACCATACAACTGGAGGCCAACAAGGAATACCGGCAGTGACTTGTTAATTAGGGGCATTAAGCTGCTGTAATTGACACCACCACACTAAAAGCTAGTGCTGTTCTAGCCAATACATTTATTATAGGTCAGAACACAAATGGCAGTTTTGGTGTAAGTAAAACATATTGTTTCCAATTTAAATCTAATCATAATTAATAGAACAAATTGGAGCTTCAAAATGGAATTAAGTCTAGGGGACTTCAGAAGTATCCAGATGGAAATATAGCAGTGGAACATCCACAGAACGGCTTAGATTTAATTCTTAATATTTCCAGCTAGAGGTAGAATAAGTCCTGTCAGAGTCCCTGGAAAGTCAAAACTCTTCATCCTTGTCAACAATGCTGAGCCAGATGGACCAATGCTTAAATTTGTTTAAGATGACAACAGCCTGTGTTCCCTTAAGATTGCCATTGTGCATCTCAGCCTAGCTTGGGCAACTCAGGAAATAGCAGAGCTAAGGTGCCAAATATAGAGGGATACAACAGGTCCCTAAAATTAAATAACAAAAGGTGCTTTATTCTTCCCTTTTTAACAAAAAGGTAGTCCTAATACATGCATTTTCCACTTCTGATTCATGTTCTAATGATAAAGAGGCTGAATGCTTACCATAGCAAAGTATGTAACATTTATTCTGTTCCTAGCCAGTAATTAAGGAGTCGCTGCTGCAATTTTCAGGTACACACACATGCACGCTTGGGGCCAGTTCAATAATTGCAGCAGCAACTCTTCAATTGCCAGCTAGAAAGAGACTGAATATTCTGCGCTTTGTTACACCGAACAGCAAGGTTTAAGGCAGAGAGTTCCCCTCCAAAAGCACCTTCACCCCCTGAGATTGAACAAGAGGAAAGAGTCCAACTTCTTAATCCTGAAATGACCTCTTGCGACCCATTCCCTTGGCCCACTGAGTGTGTTGGGGTGGGGAGGGAAGCAATTTGCCACATACCCTCCAGATTACCTTTAACATTCAATTTAGGGCAGGCTGTGGGGTGATGTACCCTTAACCGAAGCCTGGAGGGACCCACAACTCTTTCACAATCAGGGGCCCACCAGTTTATCGCTCACCGCCCATACATCAATGTTCCCTTCCAATTTGGTGTCACTTTGCCAACACCAGACACCTGAGCCACACGGTAATTCATGCTCAGGTTCCCCCCCCCCTTTCCCCAGCCTCTCAGTAACACAGGCAGGATTTATAACCCATGCCTTGCTCTCCAGTCGCTGTAAAAGGAAAATGGGGGAACAAGGATGCTGGTCTGGCTAGCATCCCTTCCAACGAGACACCCTTCTTACCCCCAGAGGTGGAAGCACCGAGTGTTGGTTGTAAAGAATGACAGCTTTAATACTTGCAAAAGCCTGCAGACATTTCCCTGCTCTTAGCTCACGTTGCTCTGTGTCCCTGCGAGCAGGACATTTGGGTGCTGCATCTGCCATATTTTATTGTTTCCCTGTCATCTTCTCAGCCCCTTTTCATGTCGCTTAAGTCTGCTGAATGCAGGGCAAGGCTGCGGGCAACGGCCACCTTTCTCACGAGATAAATCTCCAAGCATTCGTTGGACGGACTTCCGGGTGGTGTGTGTTATACCTGCATATGTATGTGTGTTGCACGATACTGGATACACGCGCACACTCTCCTTCCTCTCACCAAAGCTTACGTTAATCATGTGTGTTATACCTGCATATGTATGTGTGTGTGTTGCCCGATCCTGGATACACGCGCACATTCTCCTTCCTCTCGCCAAAGCTTACATTAATTGGGAACTCTCCACCAGACACCTCGGTAGATGGCACAGGGGGCAACGGCTTGTTTATCGTTTTTAATTTTTAGCCTACAGCGATGCAGGGACTTGGATCCACTAACAATGAATTAAAAACTAATAAAGCGCAGGCCTAAAATTGAATTAAAATGGCTAAGAATGGCTGTTAAGAGGAAGGAGGTGAGCTGAGCGCTCCCATTCTTCAGAAGGGTTATGGATTTTCTTTATATCCACTTAACCTCGGATTCAACTGGTGAACGTAGGGAATGAATTGCCTTCCCTGGTGGGTGCGATCGGCTCTTTCTGGGCATGACCGCTCTGCCCCATTCCTCGCTTATGCAACAGAGTTCTTATTTTGAAATGGGAAGTGACCCATGATGAGTCCTTCATTCAGAAAGAGAAGGAAGGGTGCCCCTGCGAGCCTAAATAAATAAATATTTCTCTAGCTCAGTTAGCAAAGGCCCTGGACCCCCTGCCCCCAAATCTGCCCCCGGGGAGCATGCCCATGGATGTCCTCAGCGGTTGAGGTCTCCGACAGCAGAGGCAGAGGTTGGGAGTTTGATACCCCGTTGGATTCCTCGACAAGGACCCGGGGAGCATGCCCATGGATGTCCTCAGTGGTTGAGGTCTCCGACAGCAGAGGCAGAGAGTTCGATTCCCCGCTGGACTCCTCAACAAGGGCTGGACACCATGATCCCTTCCAGTTCTGTAGTGTGATGATGAGGATAATGAGGATTCCCACTGTGGGTGGTTCAATCAAAGATTTCTCCCTTTCAAAAAAATTCATTTTTTAAAAATTAAGTCACAGAGGCTAACAATTCTCACCATTGTTTATGGAAGTAATTCGGTTCTGCTCTCACAAGGAGTAACAGAGTGCTATCTTGAAGCCAAACAGCACCCAGCAAAGGTATCCTAACACCATGCTCCATCATCCCCAATGAACAAGCTACACTGTTTGGGATGATGGAGTCTGTAGCATGATACCTGGGGAAATATCCCACTCACAGAAGGGTAAGGCTCCTGTCTGAGTCTCTAATTAATAGGAAGGGAATTTGGATCTCAGAGTGGCAGGAAAAAGCAAACTACATGTGAATCATTGTTTGAGCAACCCAATTCTGATTTGAAAAAGATGATTAGCTTGTGTCCTCTCTGTTGCCGCTTTTGAAGGAGCTGGAATAACATTGTCCTTTCAAGCCCCACAAACAGTCCTGCAGGGTGCAACGTTTTCTGCTGAAGCTGCAGGAGGAACATGGAGGCACGTTGGATGGTCACCATCCAAGATATCCCAGGCAGGCTCTCCCCAGGGGCAAGGGTGCCAGGACCCCAATCCCCCCACCACACAGAAAATCAAGTCCAAAGGCACTCACTGTGCAGGGGGTCGTGACTTGTGATCAAGCAGAGGCAGGAGTACCAGGCTGGGAGAACAGAGGCAGGGGGCTAGCAGAAGCAAAGCAGGAGCAGGAACCCAGGAGTCCAGACGTAGAGACGCAGGAGGCCAGCAGGGGCCAAGGCAGGAAGAAGAGCAGAGGCAGGAACACTGGGATGCAGGGACTCTGGTGCTCAGGAGCAGAGCCAAAGACCTCAGTTGCTGAAGCTGGTTGTGGGAAGGAGAGCCACTCCTTAAATAGGCTTGCCCTCCAGGTTTCCAGGTGAGCCTCATGAGTGGCTCAGCAGCTGATCCACAGGCCAGGGCCTGAGCCTGCAAACACTCGGCCACTCCTGGGTGTTCCTGGCCCCAATCCTGCAGCTGCTCGGACGGTACGGGCCAGATCCTGACACTGATATATCAAAACCCTCAATGCCTCTAGCAGGTGGGGGCCGCTGTTATTCAGACTGGCAGGAAATGTGCTTCTACGCAGAGCAGGGACCAAGGCAGGGGGAGTGGGACTCCAGAAAGGGCATAAGCCCACCCCGTGCCCCCTTTATCCTCCAACTGCTTCTCCCCTGGGCAAAAGGAAATGCTGATCATCAGAAAGGCTCCATTTCGAACCAGAACCATCCTCACACGTTCAGATCCCACATGCTCCGTTTCCAGATGGACATTGTCTCCAAAACAGCTCATTTCAATCTTGACTTCCCATCACAGCCTTCTTTCTCTGCTCGTTGGGCTGTCGAGAAAGGACAAGAGTTTCTGACCTTGGATCACCCAAATGTTCTTGGGCTGAAACTCCTAGAAGCCTTCACCCTTAGCTGTGCCGGCCCAGGGTTTCTGGGAGGTGGCCTCCTGCGGGATTTTGTTTAAATTTTTGTTTCTTCTTCTACAAGTAGAATTACTCTTCCCCTAAGTAGGCTGGGATGCTTCTGTGTTCTTCTCCTGTGACCTCCTTTGACCACACCCTGTTGGCAGCCCAAATTCAATTTTGCTGTTAGAAGGAGTGATCATCTGCCTGTTGGGGAAAACTTCCTAACTGTTAGAGCAGTACGACAATGGAACTCATGGCCTCCGGAGGTGGTGAGCGCTCCAACGCTGGAGCCCTTCAAGAGAAGATTGAACCACTATCAGCTACAGCGCTGTAGAGGCATTCAAGAGAAGATTGAACCACTATCGATCAGATCTGGTTTGAGTTGGACTCCTGCCTTGAGCAGGGGGGTTGGACATGATGGCTTTAGAGGCCCCTTCCAACTCCAGGATTCTAGCATTCCATGAATCATCACCTCTAGGATTCTAGCATTCCATGAATCATCATGGGGAAGAAATCCTCTCACTGCCTGTCATGATCAAGAAGCGACTCAGTGGCTACTTTTCAGCTTCATTTCTCCTCCTAATGCTCCTCTAGTGCTGTAATTAGAATGTTCCGCCCCCCCAGTGGTGACCCTTCTGTTTCCTTTCCAAGTCTCCTCAGAGTGCCAATTTAAGTCTTCAGACTGAACCGAGCACCGAGGCAGAGTTGAGGAGCATCCCACCCACTTGCCAGGAGACGCGCCGAAGGTTTCCCGAGTGAATGGGAAGAAAGACACCTCACCAGCACACCTCGTCTAGGTTTTTGTCTGATTTAGGTGCAGGCGGTAGAGCTGGAAGGAACCCCAAGTGCCATCTTGCCCGACGCCCTACTAACAAAAGGAATCCACAGCTGAGGCACCTCCGGAAAGGAGGCCATCCAGGAGAGGAGAAAGCCACTGGAATGTTATGGCGCAGGATGAGATGCTGCATCACAGATATGCTTGGGTTCGAGTTAGTATCCACAGCTGGATTCAGCTCTGGGGGTCCTGCTAGAGATCATCTCTTTTTTTACTCTAGAGCAGGGATGGGGATTTGAGTTACAGGACTCGCTAGTCAAGTCGAATTTAAGTCACAACCACAACTTGACTTGGACTTGTCTCAGCTTTTTTTCAATGACTCGTGACTCATAACCTACCCACCTCTCTGTTTTCTTTCTCTTTTTTTCTCGCTTTTTTTCAATGACTCGTGACTCATAACTTACCCACCTCTCTGTTTTCTTTCTCTTCTTTTCTAGGGAAAAGAACTTGTTTTTAATAGGGGCTCGAACATGAGACTTGGGACTTGGGACTTGCACCCAAAGACATGCCAGCATCCCTGCTTTAGACTAACCGAGCCCATCACCAACGTAGACCAGACCCAAACCTTCCACCTGGTTTTTATCTAAACTTCCTCCTCTTCTTGCGTTCCCTTTTGAACTCTCACAGCGGCAAGCGGAAAATTGATAAAAGATAAACGAGAGAGAGAGAGAAAATTTCAGCCTTCTCCACTCACACATGCTAGCTTCAAATGAGATTAGCACACTTGACAGGGAAAAAGGGGTAGAGTTCTTTCAGCTCAGTCCAACACTTTTAATGTAGAGTGTATTGTGATTTTAAGCTCGTCACTGTTACATGAAGCCAGATTTTGGTTGGGAACATCCCGACTGTTAGAGCAGTACAACAACAGAACCCATGACCTCCGGAGGTGGTGAGCGCTCCAACACTGGAGGGTTTCAAGAGAAAATTGGATAGCCATCCATCAGATCTGCTTTGACTTGGATTCCTGCCTTGAGCAGGGGGTTGGACTCCGTGGCCTTCAAGGGCCCTACCAACTCTATGATTCTAGGATTCGACATGAGAAACGTGACAATCACAGAGAACACACATTCTCTTTAGTATCTAATTTGACGCTCTAGAAAGCATCAGCTAAACCAAGAGTTTCCCAGCTTTGTGCCCCCAGGTGTTTTTGGACTAAAACTCCCAGATGCCTTCACCACTAGCTGTGATGGCCAAAGTTTGGAGAGTTGCAGTCCAAGAACATTTCGAGATCCAAGGTTGGGCACCGCTGAGCTAAACCAATATCTTGGATCTGACTGATGACTAAAAAACCATAAAAGATGTATCTTCACCCAGTCATAGAGTACAGAAGTGGAAATCCAAGACTGAAGAATGCTAAGCACAACCGCAATGCATATTTGTAGATCTTGAAAAGACAACCCTTAGAATGAACCCATCTAAGTCAAAACAGGGAGAGTAGTAGATTGGCAGGATAACAGAGACAGCTGAAGGTCCACCCAGCTGCTTCACCAGCATGGCTTTGTTTAAAGCATTTCTCTACCCACCATCTCTCTCTAGCTCTCAGCTGTGTTCATAAAGATGCTGAAATCGGATGACACCGAGCAATTTTTGGTTGCAATAATGGCTGTAAAGTTAGACAAGGGGGCCACAACTACAGATGCCATCAACAGCGCCATTCTGTTTGGAAAGAACTCCAAACCATAAATGTATAAACCAGAGAACGTCTTATTGTTGTATTTGCTACACAAAGCAATTTAATCCAAATGCACCTAGAGATTGAGCCCTCTGCTCCATCTGGGCCTAGGAAGAAAAGAATTCCAAGCAGAAGGAAGCCATCGCAGACCAAAGAACGGTGGCATCAAACCAGGCGCAGAGTAATTCCCGAGGAAGGTTGCAACGCATTCCCCTTTGCCAACTTGGAAGGTGGATCAGCTGTAGCTGAGCTGGCCCAGACGGGTTGCCAGAAACCACCTTGATAAAAGAGAAAGGAAGGCTAAGGCAGAGCAGCACATACACCCAGTTCTGATACCCTATTCAGAGGTGGTGGGACCGGGTGAGAACATTTCAGAGATTCCACCAGGCAGGATTCGACACCTTGGAGAACTCTGGTAAAACGTGGACAAAAAGCAAATGTGAAGTCAACACCCCTACAAAATTGGTCACAAGACACCACCGGTGAGAGGTCAAAGAGAACAACTGTTCTGACTTTGATAGCAAAGGTGCTCTTCTCAGGGCTAAACTACATGTTACACATGACCTGCCACTGGCAGCTGAAATCTGATTAACGTTCCCAACACTTGATTTGAGCAGAACTTTGTATTCGAGCAATGGAATTCACAAACAAGGCCAGTATGTTTACCTCTCAACAGCCCATCAGAAAACAAAGCAAACTAATATGCAAAGCAGGTGAAGCGTGGCGAGCTTTTGCCGTGATGATCAGATGCCTTTCAGGGCTCGAGTTGTTTTTCTCCTACTTCCAGGTCTTAGTTGTCAACAAAAGCCGCACAAGCACGGAGGCCGTGATAAGGTTTCAAAGAGCAAACCAGTGCACGGTCTGGGCAGCTGGCCAAGCCAGTCTTTCCACCAGTGCCGGAGTAAACCAGGAGCATCCAAGCCAAGGTGAGCCGCCCAGGATCCAAATCCAGCAGAGACAAGAGACCAAGGAGGAAGAAACACAACGCACAACACCAAATGGCCCAAGTCGATCACAGTGAGAGGAAATCGAGTAAACAATTTGGGTAGAGAGCAGTTCAAACTCTACTAAACAACTTAGTCCCACCACTGATACTTTGCTACTGCTGCTAAGGTTGCTTTTACTGGGAAGTTCCACCCAACGCTCAGGTATGGACCCATCTAGCCTTAGATCACCCTGTGAGCAAGGAGTGACTCTCAAATCCACTTCCTCCAGAGGAAACCCCAAGGAGACCTGGGCCAACTCCAGACACCACATCTCGGTGTCTTCAGCCCAGCACCACTCTTGCAAACTAAGAAGAGATCCACCTTCATGGTCTGAACCTGGAGAGGAGTTACCTCCACCCGTTGTCACTCTGAGGGCTCTTGGTCTACAGCAGCAATGGAGATGTTCTGCATTCCCAGGGTCATCATGAAACCCTGGTTTCTCCCACCTGGTGGAGTCATTAGAAGGCCCATTTCCCCTTCTAATCTGTAACTTGTAATTTGACCCCACCCACCTACCCCAACAGGCTGCTCTCTCTTTTTTGGTCTGATCTGCTTGCACAGACTAACAGGGCTCCTTCACGGAAAGCTCAGCCTCAGTTCCAGGTCTAATTGTCCTATGAAAGCAACCAAGATGTTAAACCACTCATGTCATCTGAGAACCAAGAGTATTCCCCCCCCCCATATCAAGATCTCCAGAGTTTCCGTTAGCCTCTCCTTCAGAGCTTCACAAAGTTGCTTGTTTGGACTACACTACCCAAAATCCCCCAGCTGGCTCTACAGACCCATCTCAGGGGTGTAGCTCCCACCTGCCCACCTGCCTCCTTGTAGTCCAGCCCAGGTACTGTATTCCATCCAAGACCCTCGCCAAGGTAGCGAAGGTCCCCCGAGAACCATTCCTGCC